CTCCCCTCTTTCCCTCCCTTCCCCTTCCTCCTCCTCCTCTTTCCTCCTCTTCTTCCTCCTCTTCCTCTTCCTCCTCTTCCCTCTCCCCCCATGCCATGACCCCCAACCCGGGCCTGGGAGGACTCCTGGTGGCTTCTTCTTCTCCTTAGCCCACAAGTCCCAGGCCCCAGGTTTCTGCTCACATGCATGGTCTTGGCTGCCTGCCTTTGCTTTTCCTCTGTCCCCTTGTACTCTGGCTCTGCTGTATGATCTTTCCTGGCCAGTCTCTATGCTGCCCATACTCACATCACAGACTTTGATCATGTGGTTACTCATAGATTGATGAGCCTGGCATTGAGTAGGTACTGGTGAGTAGTGAGTGCTAACTGGCAGCGAGTAAGAAGCTGTGAGAGAACCTAGATGTAGGTGAGTCACATGGCCACCAGCCGCTGTACAGCAGAGTCCAGGTGAATTCCTGGCACTTGCACACCTGGGAATCTGCATCTGTTACACGTGCAGCATACTGACCCTCCATCTCCTCTGTCAGAACTGCTGGACTAGAGTGATGCTCTGATGATAAGACACATGCATGAAATTGTATTCACTGCAGAATGTCAATGTGGATTTTATTTTTAAGGATGGAAAAATTGAAGCAGAGGATTTCACTAGCAGGTTATACCGAGAACTTAATTCTTCACCTCAACCTTACCTTGTGCCTTTCCTGAAGGTAATTTGAAGCTTGTGGCGCCTGTGACAGTACTAGTGAGGCCCATTCTGGGGGTCACAGATCCCCCAGTGTGTGCCTGTGACATCTGGCAGGGCAGGAAGCCTGTGCTGCCCTGGAACAGATGTTGGGTTTGCTGTTTAAAAGCAACCTTTTCCATAAGGTTGACCCCCCTGTCTGGCCTCATGATCCTGCTACATGGGAGGGATTGAGAAGGGCCTGTGCTGGAGGGTTGGAGGGTCCACTCCCTGGTTGGGCTGAGGATTCTGAGAGTCACACCATCTTTCTTAGATGGCTATTGCTATCACCATTGCGTCTTTAAGACTTTAGGAAATACTGTTGTTTTCTTTTTTCTTAAAGCAAATTTTAGCCAATTCTTACTAATGGTCCAGTTTGGTGAGAGTTGGGAAAGCTCAGGTGTTGCTGGATGTTGGCACTGATGTCACAGATACTCCATGAGGCTCTAGAGTCTGTCTCATGTAGCTGGAGAATGATCTGGAGTTTAAGGAAGGAAAGCCAATGTGTGCGCTGCCCTGACTGACATGCGTGTCTGTCTTCCCACAGAGGAGCCTACCTGCCTTGAGACAGCTGACCCCCGACTCCGCAGCCTTCATCCAGCAGAGCCAGCAGCAGCAGCCTCCCGCCTCACAGGCCACCACCACACTCACCGCCGTGGTGCTCAGCAGCTCGGTGCAGCGCACAGCCGGGAAGACGGCCGTGTCTGTGACCAGCGCCCTCCAGCCCCCCGTCATCAGCCTCACGCAGCCCACACAGGTTAGCCTTGGCAAGCAGCCCCCACCGCTGGCATGAAGGTGTGAGCCTTGCTGGTTTTCCACAGCCCGCCTGCTGTGTGGTGCGTCCTGCCAGCCTCTGTGAATAACCAGCCATGGCTCAGAGAAGCCTTTTCATGAACCAGCAGGGGTGCTTCTGCTAGGAAGAAGCTTGAATACGTATGAGTGGCTGAGACTCTGCAGTTTTGTTTCATGTCTCAGTTAAATAAAGGGACCTCTTGGGCCAGTGATGTGTGTGTTTTGGTGAGTCTCCGAAGTGTGTGTTCTCTGAGTAGGCAGGTGACACAGGCTGTATTTGTGGCAGGAGATTGGGAGAGCAGCTGATGGCAGCGGTGTGGTCTGGGAGGCGCTGAGGTGGAGCTGCAGGGAGTGACAGACAGCACCGGTGTTGATGGTGACTTTCTGTTCTGCAGTCTCGAGTCTGTGTTCTTCCACTGGAGGAAAGATGCCTTTGCTGTCTGTCTTGTGCTCTGAGTACATGGCTGACGGAGGTGAAGCAGGCCCACCGAATGCAAGGGAGGCAGCTTTTAAAAATGACAGTGGGGTTTTGGTCCCCAAAAATCAGCTTTAAAAAGTGAAACATTGCAGGCTGCTCATTCCTCACAGGCCATGAAGTGCATTTGACGATGGTGCTGTAGCAGTGACCAAGAAGATGGTCATGTTACCCCTAGGCTACTGTTCACCTGCTTGGGGAAAGTTTGAATTTGCTTTGTCTTAATTGCTAGTGAGCAAGGCAGGTTAAGGGGACCGAGAGAGAAGTGTGGGCAGGGGCAGGGCTGAAGGTCCACATGTAAAGTTAGGGCTTTCCTCATCCCTTTGACACAGACTGCAAGGGTGGGGTCATTGTGGTGAGCTTTGACATGGTGTCAGGGCAGTGTCCTGTTCGGTACTCAGTGGGACTTGTTTAACCCAGAAGGCAAGTTCTGCTGAAAGAGCTTGCTGGGTCAGGTTGTGCTCTTTGTTGGGAGGCTCTGGCGTCAGCGCTTGATTACATCAGCAGCATCAGGAGCTTTCTTTCTATAAATGTGCTACATTCAGTCACTTCCTGGGCTCCGTGTGGCTGTGCCTGTGTGCAGCTGACAGGCCCATGGATGGGATGGATGGGATCCATCCCCTTACTCTGAGACCTACAGATGTGGACATGGAAGCTGTCTGGTCTCAGCCTGTCTAGTCTGACTGTTCATTCGTGTTGAATTGCGGAAATGGTTCTAGTACGGGCCTTGTCCCAGCCCGCTTGAGTGTCTTGTGAAGTAGGGAGCATATACTCACCTGGCACCTTTAGAGCTAGAAATTGAACTTCAGAAGACCCAGCCCCCCAAAGTTCTGTGGCAAGGCCATGGAGATCAGAGCCATGTAGCGTTTGGCAAGGATCACTTTCTCTTTGGCCCCTGGGGGCAGTGTCTAGAGCATAGGAAGTGGGCAGTGCTGCCTGCTCTTGGAGTCTGCTTTGTGCCTGGTGAGGGCAGGCTGAGTCCAGGGGTGGGGCAGAATGAGTTCTTGGCCCAGGCAGGAGTCATAGTATGATGGAGAACAGGTTGTGCTGGGGTAGTCATTTGGTTCTTATAAAAAACTTAGGAAAAAAACCTGAGCTTTGATCACTAGGTCATCGTGTACCCTGCTGATAGGTGGGGTAGGGTTGTTGCCCTGTTCACTGTCTGCCCCGGGCCTGACCTGGGCCTGCCGCAGCCCAGGAAGTAGATGTGCCTGGAAGCTCCTGTGCCATGGCTTGGTGCGCACCACCCCATCTCACCCTTTCCGGGTTCTCTTGAGGCCTTGTGTGGAGCAGCAGCCCAGGGTATGGGCCAGGCTTCTCTGTGGCCCTAGGTCTTGCTGAACTTTCTTACTGGAGTAGGGAACACCGTGGACAGAGGAAAGGAAGAGCCTGAGGTGCAGAACTGGTGTGGTGGCCTTTGGAAGGTGTGCTCACTGGTTTTGCTGCTCTGTCCCAGGTGATCCAGCAGCCCCCGAAGCCGGGAGCCCTGATCCGGCCCCCGCAGGTGACCTTGACGCAGACACCTATGGTCGCACTGCGGCAGCCTCACAACCGGATCATGCTCACCGCGCCTCAGCAGATCCAGCTGAACCAGCTGCAGCCAGGTGAGGGCCCAGGGCCACCAACTGCTCATCATGAAAGGTGTTCCCCCCAGATATGGCCTGGGGATTGGATTTTGTTTCATTGTGGCAAAATATACATAATATAAGATTCCCCGTTAACCATTTTAAGTATATAGGTCAGTGACAACATTCATAATGTGCAGCTGTCAGTCCGGTTTAAGGTTTTGGGACAGTCTGTCATAGTTGCCTGTAAAGCACTGGAGCAAGTTGTACGTGTGCACCCGCCTCAGTGGTCTCCGCTGTCTTTTGCTTGGCAGTCCCTGTTGTGAAGCCCACCGTGTTACCTGGAACCAAAGCCCTTTCTACTGTCTCTGCACAAGCAGCTGCTGCGCAGAAAAACAAGCTCAAGGAACCTGGGGGAGGTTCATTTCGGTAAGGACCGAGGCTGTGGGTACAGCAGCCTCATGGCTGAGAGCAAAAGTGGCTCAGCTGAGTCTGTGGGAACTGAATGTCGCAGCATAGCACTGCATGCTCACTGCTGTTCATGACACAGGGTGCTTGGTGTGCTCTTGGCTCGCCCTGGACTCCACAGTGGCCGCACAGTGTCTCTCAAGTAGCCAGTCTGCGTGTCACCAGCACGCCAAGTTCTCAGAGATGTGTGCTGGACCTTCGTCATGCCTGAGCAGTGGGTAGTATGCACATTTCCGAAAATTTGGCGTGATCTTTCCCTTCCAGACACTCATTCTTAAAGCTACCAGGCAAGGCAGGGACGTGTTGGGGTGCCACAGTGGCCTGAGCAGGATTGGGGCCCAGACAGGATGAGGAGTGGTCCAGCAAGGGCTTTGTCACCTGGATTGGGTGGGGAGGCAGTTGAGTTACATGTGTAGATTGGAAGTCAGTATGCCCCAGCTCCTGGGTACTGTAGCTCCTTCCTTTTAAGGAGGGAACAGAGGGGATAACCTAGAGTGAGGCGGCAGGGTTGGGTTAGAATTGGGCTCCTGGAGGCACACTTAGTAGCTGTAGGCAAAGTGGGAGCCCTTGCTTTGTCCACTGGAAGAGCCTGGAGGTACACTCTCAGACCACAGAAAGAACAGAGGTTCTTCAGAAAGAAGCTGACGCCAGGGCTGCGATAAGGAAAGGGCAGGCTGAGCTGCGGCCGCTTTGTTCCGACAGAGCCATGCTTAGGTGGAGGCCTGAGAATCAGCTGGCCTCCCTCCTACGGTCAGGCTGGGATGCCAAGGTGGCAGAGGGTCACCATCGTATAAGATGGTGCCACAAGCCTATTTAAAAGCCAGCATCGGGTGACATGTGGAACTGGAGGAGAATTGGAGAATGTGCACAGTGTCAGAGCTTCTCCCCGAGACACTGATTCCGAGGGGCGACTCCAGACCATCCCGGGCCAGTGCTGTCAGTGCCAGCAGTGACGGGTGACCAGCAATGCGCCCAACTGCTGGGGTGGTGGGGAGGTGTCTGGAGCCCATCGGGTCAGGCCAGCAGGAGGACATTTGAGGACAGCTGCCTGGGGCATGGGCATCAAGGGGCTCAGGGTTGCTCAGTGAGGAAGACAGGAGATTGGGGTGTGCCTCTCCTGTGGAGGACGCCCCAGCACAGTGGCTACCCAGGGCTGCTCTGAGGAAAGGCTGGGGGGCGCCCTTGTCCTGGAAGACAGGAAGTGTCGTGGTGGCAGGGTGTTAGGTGTGCTCTTCTCTACCGCTTCTGAAACCGCGAGTGCCTCGTGCAGAGGGCAGGGCTGTTGAATGCCCCTCTGGGACAGTGGCTGCACAAGGGCTGGTCTGAGTTAGGGCTGTGGGTCACTGTACAGGGCCTTTTTTACAAGAGTGCCCTTGCCGAGGAAGACAGGAAGTGTCCCAGTTGTTGGCTGTCAGTTAAATAGTTTACTCCTCTCAAATGACCAGAGAAAGAGTCCCTCTGCTGTTCTACCTCTTCTGAGTTTGTGATTATTTTAAAAATAAAGTATGTGGGTTTTTTTGTTTTGATTTTTGAGATGCTTTCACATGGCTCAAAATCCTCAAAGCAGTATGTACAGTGTTGTGGGTTTACATCAAAAGGCCTGCTCAGGTGTCCTGGTCTGCTGACATAGGTACACGGATACACAGCACAGGCTGTGATGGCAGTCGCCTCCAGGGCGGGGGCCTGAGGCTGGGTGCCTGTTTCTATGGGGGACTCTGCTGTTCTTGTCACTACTTTCTGACCTTCGGTGCTGCCCTGCTGATCCCTGTGCAGCTGTGCTGATCCTTTTCTCTGCTCTCCAGGGATGACGATGACATCAATGATGTTGCGTCAATGGCTGGAGTAAACCTTTCAGAAGAAAGTGCGAGAATACTGGCCACAAACTCTGAATTGGTGGGCACCCTGACACGGTCCTGTAAAGATGACACCTTCCTCCTCCCTGCACCTTTACAAAGAAGGATATTGGAAATAGGTGAGTTCACGCCAGCAGCCATCACTAGGAGTTGTGGTGTCTTCATTGCCTGACCCGGACAGACGCAGCTCTGTGGTGGTGCATGGTCGCCCTGTGCTGAGCAAGCAGCCACTGGTGCATAGACGCAAAGACGGTGAAGTGGGGAGGAGAGACGTGAGTGTCTCTGACATACTCTTTGTTTGCCTAATCTCTAGGTAAAAAGCACGGCATAACGGAATTACACCCAGATGTAGTAAGTTATGTATCCCATGCCACACAGCAGAGGCTACAGAATCTTGTAGAAAAAATATCTGAAACGGCTCAGCAAAAAAACTTCTCCTATAAGGTAATGGGGCCGTTTTCCTGAGAATGCATTTCTGTTTTCAGTTCCTGATGCGGGGCTGTCTGGAAGCCACCTGTGGCCCTGAGAGAGGGCCGAGTTGTCCCGGATGCCCACATGTGCGTCTGAATTGGCTCTGTTCAGACACATGAGGTCCTCGGGGGCTGTGCAGAGCTGGACCAGGAGAGGAGGGTGGGGCCTGTGGGAGTATACTCTGAAGGGGTTTTCAGCTGGAGGGTAAACCCGTTGTCATTCCTTCCTTCCTTCATTTCAGTGTGGAGTTTGAACCCAGGCCCTTCACGTTGAGCTATATCCTCAGCCCTTTTTATTTTTTGAGCTAGGGTCTCGCAAAGTGGCCCAGGCTAGACTTAGACTTGTGATCTTCCTGCCTGAGCCTCCCAGCGTTAGGATTACAGGTGTGCAACCACACACACACACCTGGCCACTTACTGCCTTTTAAGTATTGTGGGGTTTTATTTTGGTTTTTTGAAACAGGGTCTCACTGTGTAGTGAGACTGATCTGGAACTCACTATGTAGCTCAGGCTGGTCTCGAACTCAGAGCGATCCTCCTGCCTCAGCCTCCCAAGTGCTGGGATTACAGGCGTGTGCCACCATGCCCAGCTTATTTTGGTTTTTTGAAACAGGGTCTCACTGTGTAGTGAGACTGATCTGGAACTCACTATGTAGCTCAGGCTGGTCTCGAACTCAGAGCGATCCTCCTGCCTCAGCCTCCCAAGTGCTGGGATTACAGGCGTGTGCCACCATGCCCAGCTTATTTTGGTTTTTTGAGGTGAAGTCTTTACATAGTTCAGGCTGGCCTTGCCCTCACAACTGTAGTCCAGGTGAGCTTTGAACTTGGGATCTTCCTGGCCCAGCCCTACAAGTATAGGAATTACAGTTATGCAGCACCTTTGAAAATCATGGAGCCACTCACTTATGCATCCCTTTTCATCTGGCACTGGGCCCTTTTCCTGGGCTGAGCTGTGCCCGCTGTTCTGGGAGCACCTGAGCAGGTGGGTGAGGTGCCAGGCAGGTGCTGTGTGCACTCTCGCCAGTGCCTTCAGAGCAAGGTTTGGAAAACTGCACTCAGCTACTGTGTGTTAGAAGTACTTCTGTGTTACCACAGAGAAATGTAAATGTTGCTTAAAGATACCAGACCACATCAGTAAAGTGGACACTGGCTGGGAGGCACTGCGTGAATGGCGAGGGTGTGGAGCTGCGCAGTGAGATACGAGGAGGCCGGATCTGCTTGCTGGTGGGGAAGGGGTTGAGCATAGGTCGTCTGAAACAAGCCTTCCCTTCCTCGGTTCCTGGATTTGTGACAGATAGTATTTCTGCCTTTTTTATAGGATGATGACAGATATGAGCAGGCAAGTGACGTTCGGGCTCAGCTCAAATTTTTCGAACAACTTGATCAGATTGAAAAGCAGAGGAAAGATGAACAAGAGAGGGAAATCTTGATGCGGGCAGCAAAGGCAAGTGCCCACATTGCTCCCTGGGCCTCTGTCTCAGGCACTCCCTCATCCCTCCCAACACACTCACGCAGACAGTGAGTGGCCAAGCTCTGTCACAGGCTGGAAGGTGACGCAGTTGTAGGTCGGGCTACAGAGAGAGCCTGGATCACGCAGCATTCTCTGAGTGCACGAGGGTACACGCTTGAACTGTGGAGCTTCGGATTCCTTAACCCTCACCCACCCCCAGGTCCTGCCCACTTCAGTGCAGAGTGCATGTGGAATGAGTCCTTTTTCTGTGTGCCAGGTTCCCGTTGCCCTTTGATCTAGAACACTTGGGGCCAAGTTTGTCCTGTCTCATTGTCAGCTGTCAGAGGAGACTCTTGTCCTGTGGTGAGGCTTGGTAAGAGACAGGAGGGTCATAGGCTTTGGCAAGAGTCCCGCCCCACCACACGAGGAGCTGGAGCCCTGTGCGGCTCTCTTCACATTTGTCCTGTTACATTGCACCTGAGGCCTGTACTTGGTAGCCCAGCATCGAGCATTGTATCTTAATTTTCTGTCATCTGAATGATAGTTTCTTCAAGCTCCCTCATGATAGCCAATCTAAAATTCTATCTTTTGGCTATAAGCATTAAAGAGAGTTAATGTGACTTAGATGGGAGAGATGAGTAAGATATCAAATGAATAAGGGAACGTTTGTTAGGTGAAATACAGTGGATCATCATTTATTTTCTTTTTCTACTTCTTTCTAAAATAGTCTCGATCCAGACAAGAAGATCCAGAACAATTACGGTTGAAGCAGAAGGCAAAAGAGGTAAGCTTTTTAGTCACAGACTCTTCACTGCACACTTGAAGCTCATCACCCTAGACGCCTGGCAGAAAAGAGAATGGCTAAGAACATCATGGAATTTCTGAACGTGGGCATTGATGTAGCTCTTTAAAATGTGCAAGGTTTAAATGATACCAAGTCAGAGGTATTCTCCTGTGCAGATAGTTTGCATTCTGTTTTTATATTTAGCAGTGACTTCTCTGGGGTTGGGATTTAGTCTTTATGCTTAAACTTGCTTTTATTTCCTGAGTGTTTTAAAGTGAACATTAATTGCTTTAAAATATCCTTATATTTTTGGTTACAGAATGTGCTCAATATTAAAAAAGCCAAAACATTAAAGAAGTTCAATTTAGAAAATTTCAGAAAGCCCTGTGATACCTTCATATTACTTTTGCAGTAAGTAAAAATGTGCAAGAAACGATAGTCCTTGTTTCCTTTCTAACACAAAGATGCAGCAGCAGGAACTGGCACAGATGCGACAGCGGGACGCCAACCTCACGGCACTGGCGGCGATCGGGCCCAGGAAAAAGAGGAAAGTGGACTGTGCAGGGCCGGGATCGGGAGCAGAGGTACAGCAGCAGCGCGGGGGTGAGGTCTGGAAGGGACCCGGGAGAGCGTCTTAAGCTGCTTCCTCAGGTAGACGGACACATGTGAGAGTGCGCTAACCCTCCACACCTTGTCTCGCCTTCTGTGGCATATTTGTTTTGCATTTGAAATTTGGCATTCACATCAAGTTGTTTGTGGGCTTCATAAGTTCTTTGCATAAGGTTGTGTGACTACTGTAGTTTCCTAAGATGAGGTTCGTACTGACTTTGAACAGAATATGGGGTTGCTGTCTCACAAGTAACAGTGAGAGAATTACTTCGGGAGAACAGGCAGGCGGAAAAGGAGCCGTTTCGTGCACTTAGAGTTTTTTTAGTTGCTTGTCTTGTTTGTTGTCATATCTTTTAAAACATTAATAGTTCTAAACTTAATCTTTTGTGTTATTGTTGTTGTTGTTGTTGTTATTATTATTATTATTGTTATTATTATTTTGGTTTTTTGAGACAGTCGTACTGTGTAGCTGAGGCTGGCCTCAAACAGTAATCCTCTTGCCTCAGCTTCCTGAGTGCTGGAATTACGGATGTGTACCACGAGGCCCGGCTGAATTATTTTTGCTTTAAACTGTTAATTACTTATTTAAAAGTAGCATTTAGGAAGAAGGAAAACAATTTTTCATATTTACATACCTACGTGCCATCTCTGGGGTCCTTTTACTTTTCTACAAACCCCCATTCCTATCCACCACCACTTCTCTTTGACTTGATTTCCTGTCACGTGAGTCTGTTGGCAGTTGAGTCTCTTTGCTTTAGTTTACTTGAATATCCTTGTGTTTCACCCTTCTTTTTAAGGAATACTATTACTGGTTCTGAAATTCTCTTCAAATACTGTACACTTTTTCTGCTCCAGCTTTTGTTCTGTTAGACACCCAATCATGCATGTCCTTAGCCCTGTTGGTACTGCTGTTGCGGTCTCCGAACTTGTGTTCACTCACTTCAGTATTGTTTTTCTCTGCTCTTGAAACCAGATGGTTTCTCCTGTTCTGTCTTCAGGTTCCTGACCAGATGGAGTTCTGCTTTTTCCAGTTGGTTGCTAACTTCTACTAAATTTTACATTTGTTAACGTGTTTTTTCATTTGTAGGGCTTCTGTTTTCTGCCTGCCCATTTATTGAAACCATATTTTTGCATACCTTTTGAACATATTTATTAAAGCTGCTAAAGATTTTTTCAAGTCCAGAACCTGTGCCATCTCAGATCAGTTTCTCTTTCTGGTGGACCATACTGCAACCCCCTTCAGTGGGGCTCAGTCTCCTGTGTGACAATACAACATAGGCTAACGAGAATAAGACAGAAACGAGACCTAGAACTGGGTTTTGGGCTGATCTGTGCTGCTCTGGGCAACAAAGACAAGGGTGCCAAAGGCACCCAGTATTTATTGGTTACAAGCATGGGAAGAAGGTGAGCAGGTGCTTTGAAGACATCTAGGGACACAGTGTGAAGTATCTGGAAGCATCTGGTGATAGCTGATATGCAAACGGCTGTAAAGAAGGAAGGCATTGCTTATCTTGGAGAGAACAAAGGCTGCTGGGTCTGGGTTGCAGTTCACCAGCAACCTGTCAGGTCAGTGAGAAGCCACAATTCAGGGGACGGGATTTGGTTGGAGCCAAGTTGACCTCCGCTGGAAGTGAACTCAGCTGAGCCCTGCTACTTTATGGACTAGGATTTAAGTCTCAGTAGCAGTCTCAGTAGCAGCCATTAGCAAAGGAGCAATACCAGCCCAACTCTGCTATCTGAGATGTCCATTTGAGCCATGTAAAGCTTTGGTCAGACTCCTAAGATAAAACAGTATAGCTCAATTATGGAAAAGGAAGAAGCATGTGCGACTTATATACAGCCTGCTAGCACTGGGCAGGGATGTCTGTTATATCTGTTGAGTGCTTTTCCCCCTTTACTGTGGATCACATTTGATTCTCGTTACAGCGGGCAGTTCAGTTAGTGCTGCTCGTCCTGGTTTCTGTGGGCTTTCTTTTCACTCCGTTATGAATGATCTCTGGAAAGATCAAGGTAATTCTCAAGCCACTCTATCCTGGCTGGACTTAACGCTGCAAGCTCGTCTTCCTGTCTGATGTTGGTTAGGCTTTGCCCTGGGGGGTCTTACTGTAGGGTGTGACCCTTTACTGCTAGGAGAGCTTGACATGGACTTAACACATTCATGATGGGACTGTGATGCGTGCGTCTCCCTGCCAGGCAGCTCTTGGGTTCAGTCATTGCACCAGCTTGAACCATCGGTGGTGCATGTATGACTGTCGCACTGAACAGCATATGCCACTTCGTGGGGCTTTGATTACAGTAATGCAGAGAAAGGCATTGATTTAGCAGACCAGCTGTTGTCATATTATAGTGTCTTAAGGGAAACATTAGAATGGTTTAAAAATTGTAATACAGTTAACTTGTGGCACAGTAGTTGTAAATGTGTATCATATATACCATCGATAGGGTATGTGTAAAATTTCCATGTTGAAATTTAGAGAGTTAGTTATTGATAAACTATTCACAAATGTAAGTAAATTTCTTTTAACTTAATGAAATAAATTTGTTATTATAATTATTATTTTAATTGGTATAAATAGTGTATTATATTTGGACAGTAATTATTGAATCTCAAACAACTAATTAGATTTGGTCTATTTATAGGCTCTTTATTAGTTTTGTTAGTAGAAAGACTAAAAAGTTGATTAGATCTATTTGTCCCCCCAGGGGTACCAGCCGCCCAGTGGCGCAGTAGTGCCTGTACCACACGGTTCAACCCGGTGGGAAGCCTTAAACGTAACTGACGGGTTCTGATCTGTTGCAGTTGTGATTTCCGTTGCATTTCACAGTGGGCTGTCGCTGGCTCCTGGGTCCTGTCAGGACAGGATCCCAGATCGTCGCATCTGGGGTGGTGCAGTGTTCATCGTACTCCTGTACCGCTCCAGACCTGAAAGCAGCCATTTCTTCAGGAATGGTTTCTTCCAGTGGGAGTGGCATTAACAGACCATGGGCTGGGCCTGGGGAGGCTGGTTGTCACTGAGGGTTAGGCCTCTCTGAGGGCAGAGGTGGGAAATGTGTAAACATGAGACTTTGAGAATTTGTGTGGATGTTTCCAGTTCAGGTCGTTGAGTTCAGGGACACAGGATTCCTTTGGGTCTTTGCTTCTCATGTGGAGTTCTCTGATTTCTAGGTTTTCTTGATTTTGTCATCGCCTCATTTCTAAGTTCTGCTAATTCTGGTTTATGTTGTTTTTTACGACCTCTTACCGTTTTTTCAGTGTCCTTTAGCTGTTTTAATCTGTTTCTGCCAGGAGCTTTCACATGCCCTCCACAGTCTGACCTCAGGAGTGTGTGTGGACACTGGAGTGTGTCCCATGTGGCCCTTTTCCCTGTCAAATAGAGTCCCGTGAGCTCCTGTGGATACCTCAGGGCCTAGTGTGGCCCCTGTGTGTCTTTTGTCTGACCCCCCCTTTTTTTTTGGTATTGGGGATTGAACTCAGGTTCTTGTGTTTGTGAGACAGGCAGCAGAACCACTGAGCTAAATCCCTGGCTCCTCTCACCCCTTTCTTTGCTTGTAAGTCTGTTCTTAGGCAGTGGTAAATCTAGCTGCCATCCTTTCCGATAATTGTTTTTTGTAGTGCTTGGGATAGAACCCAGGGCCTCATTGCATGCTAGCCGGCTCTGTACCACTGCACTATACCCAAGCCCCTTCCTGGTACCCTGTACCCTAGCTGCCTCTCATGTATTTGTTGTTTTGCTCAATGTAACCAATTTCCTGGCCACTCTGCCTGCTGGGGTCCCTCTGCTAGTAGAAGAGAGTGATGGGAAAGGCCTATTGATTAACTTTTGACCTGAATGTTAAAATATTCAAAATTGGGCTGGGGTTGTAGCTCAGTGGTGCCATGCCTGCCTGGCAAGCACAAAGCCCTGAGTTTGATCCCCGGTATTGGGAGAAAAAAATTCAGATCACTCCTAAGAATAGAAAAAAGTATGCATACTTCCAGCTAACAGGAATGACAGTGTAGTGAGGCTGGGAAGGCTGTAAAACAAATAGAGGGCCCAGATGATTGGGAAGATGTAGGTGGCTGTTGGATGGGACCAGATCAGGAAGTGGTATCATCAAAGACTGGGTGAAGCCTTGTCATGTGTTGCTTGCCTTTTTTTCTTGAACTTCAGGCATCTCTAGGAGTGCCCTCGATTTAAAAGAAATTCTCTGCTAGGATGTTTCTGTGGGATAGGTAGTTTTCTTGTCTACTTTTAATCTGCATTGTGAATTTACAGAAAAGTTAAAGTAGTAGAGTTTCCGCATATCCCTCACCCCATTCACATGATGTTAGACATTGGTATCCTGCTGCTCACTGAAGACCTTATTAGATTTTTTTCTGGATTTAAATTTTAAAACATTGATAGGCTTTGTTCTTTAGAGCAGTTTTAGGTTCACATACAAATGAAGAAAGTCCGGAGTTCCTGTGTGAGCCCCTGCACCCCTGTCACCCTGGATAGCACTGGCCTCTCAGCGCCCGGTGCAGACAGACCTTAACAGCCGGCAGTCACTGTCTCTGTCATACAGAACATTTTCCCTGGCTCAGAGCTGCTCTGTGCTCCCTTCCCCTAGCACCTGGCTACCTCTCACGGTATACTGTCACCATGCTTGTGCACTTCTCCCGTGTGTCCCTCAGCTGGGGTCACACCATGGGTAGTCTCTTCATTCAGCTCTGTGCACATAATTTTCCTAAGTTCCTGCCTGTCAGCCCATGGCTTGTGCGCTCATTTTATTTCAGCGTGGAATAATGTTGCATTGTCTAGATGTACCACAGTCTATCCATTCACTGGCTGAAGGACCTCCTGGTTGCTTCTAAGGTTTGATAATTAGGAGTGTAGCTACTGTAAACATCTGTGTGCAACCTTTTGTGTGCTCATGGCTTTTCAGTGACTTTGGTAAATGCCAAGGAGTTAATACTGGATCTTATGTTGGGAATATGTTTAATTTTGTAAGAGATGGTGGCGCATGCCTGTAATCCCAGCACTTGGCAGGCAGAGGCAGGAGCATCGCTGTGAGTTCAGGGTTAGCCTGAACTACATAGCAAGACCCTGTCTCAAAAGACAAACAAAAAACTGAAACAGCTGTGCCATTTTGCCTTCCTGCCAGCTGTGATGAGGTTCCAGCTGCTGTGCATCCTTGCTGTACTCAGTGCTGTCAGGTAGGTGTGCAGCGGTCTTGCTGTGTTTTAACTTGCCGTTCTCTGATGACGTGTGACGTGGAGCGTCTTTTCACATGTGTATGCCCCTGTAGAGGTCCGCCTTATGAGGAGCCTGATCAGGCCTGATCAGGTGGTTTCTTTTTTTTTTTGTTTTTGGTACCAGGGATCGAACTCAGGACCTTGCGCTTGCGAGTTAGACGGTAGCACCACTGAGCCAAATCCCCAGCCTAGGCGGTTTTCTTATTGTTGATTTTGAGAGTTCCTCCTGTGTGGTATTTTGGGTAATAGCCCTCTATCAGATGAGTCATTTGCAGGTATTTTCACTGCTGTCCACGTTTAGTTGTCACATCTTTGTCCCTTTTGCTTTTACGGCTTCTTAGTCTTCCCTTGTCTTTCTTTAAGTAGGTAAATTGAGCTCATTTGCCTTTATTAATATTTGTGGCACTGGGGATTGAACCCAAGGCTGTACACGTGCCAGACAAGCGCACTCCCACTGAGCTACATTCCTGGCCTCATCAAGTTGGGCAGGCTGGCCTTGAACTCCCAATCCTCAGCTTCCTGAGTAGCTGGGATTCTGGAGTGCAGCACCACACCTGGCTCTGAAACCTCTTTATGCACCTACCGTGCTTGTGATTTGCTTCACTTGTTGATTATTGGTTTGCAGTTCTGTGGGTGTTCCCAGCTTCCCTTGATCTGATCCCCACTGCTCCCCTGACCAGAGACCAACTGTGGGCTACCTCTCCCTGCTGCCCCACACTCCTGGTGTCCAGGGCTTCCTCTAGCTTCCTGCGGACCCCATCTGTGCCTCGGTGTGACGACCAGGGCTTCCTGGCAGTCGTGTACTGCCTTGCCTCACAGCTGGATGCCAGGCTATCCCTTTGTCTTCCTGAGATACTTTCCCATCTGCCCTGCATCTGGGCCTCTCGCAGTGCACAGTGCGCAGGGTTTCCTCTGCCCCGTGTCACTGCGCTGCCTTCTGTGTGTACAGCTCCGGCCCCCTTCTCTTGCTCTGCTGCCTTCTGACCCTGGGACATTTCCTTAGTCTCATTTTCTTTCTAGGTTTCCTGTCTTTCTTCAGAGCTCCTTATTACTTGTTCACTTTGTCTCTTTTCTGTGGGGCCTAGTAATTTACTCATCTGGAGGACAGTTTTGTCTCTCCCTCCACCTCTTCCTTGAGTTCATTCAAGTCTTGCCTCAAGGCTTTCTGGGACTGTTGTTTTTTAAATGTTTCTTAGTTTGGGGCTTTGGATTCAACATGATTTTTGTGCTTCAGTGTTCACTTAAGTATGTCTTTATGCAAAGTGTTACCTTAAGGTTGTCCTTTGTTCTACCAGGGTGGAACCTACTCTCTGACTTCCTGTGCTCTCCTGGATCTGCTGGTTCTCTGTGTTGTCTGGGTCCAGTCCCATCTCCCCACACTGCGCTTTGGGCATTTGGGTGGTTTGTGATGTCACGGCGACCTTTCCTGGTAGCATTGTGAAGCCCAGGCTGCCGACTTTGATAACAGTGCTGGGCTTGCAGGACCCTAACTTCTTTTGCTTCTCCCTCCTTCGCCACACAGCCATCAAGGGTTTTCCTGGGGACATTTTCCCTCCGCACACCCCTTGGGCCTGGCTCTGATGCCCCCCCCCGTGCTGGTCCCTTGGTGTGTCCTGGCTTCCCAGGCTGTCTCTGCACCTCACTGCCGCTGCCTCGCTTGAATTCAGCGGTCTCTGGTGGTGCCCTGCTGGGGAGAGTGAGGTCACTTTGGATGTGGGCGTCCCGAGGCCTGAGTGATGGCCTGGCCCCTGTGCTCACTTTCCCCTCATTGCTCTCAGATGGTTGAGAGGGTGGCCAGGCAGGTGCTGTCCCGTCAGCCTCTTGAGGCGGCGCTGTTTTGATAGTTGAGTTTTGAGTGCTTGTAGCTCTTGGAAAAAGGTCCCGCAGATGCTCTGAGGCTGTGGGGCTCTCATGGAGCAGGTGGGTGCAGTGCCAGGCACGTTGCTCTGGTTCCCCTGATCCTGGCTGCCACTGACCTGAGCTGCTTGTCAGCGGGTTAGGACACCACACCCTGGAGAGCTCCTGTCCGCTGCTGTGGGCGTGGGCATGGGCATGGGTGTGGGCTTCAGTGAGCTGCTCCCCAGGGCTGGGGCACAGCAGTGGAATATCTGGGGAAGGAGATTCTTTCCGTTTGGTTTTCATGCTAGTCTTGTGGCAGTCAGGTTTACTGGGGCAAGCTCGACACCTTTCACTTAACCTTTTCTAGGGCAAATGGTCACAGCACCCTTGCACAGAGAGTGGCAGCCAAGGCTCAGGGAGCACTCCATCCTGGGTTCCGTGTCACTTTCTTAGACCTGACTGACTGTCCTTCAACCCCAAAGACCACAGACCCTAAGCTGTGCTCACCGGCATCTAGGGTGTTTGTGTCGGGGGTCTCATCTTGGGTTTGCTTTGGGCCGTGTGCAGGTGCAGCGGCAGAGACAGGCAAGGCAGCATCACTCATCCGTGATCCTCACTGCTTCCTGCCAGGCCCCCATGACCCACGAGGGTTTGGATGAGCAGGTGGAGGGGCTGCCGCTGTGCTCTGTGGGGAACGGTTCCCGCCTCTGGGGGCCCTGTCCTGGGCTGAGGGTTAGATTTGCTGGCTGTGACCAGAACACCCGCAAGCCGTGTGATCGGATTCAGGGACAGTGACTGCCAGCCCCTCCTTGGGGAGAGATAGGAAAGTGTCCTCAGTTCGGCCACAGTGGTCAGTGATTGCAGTACCAAGTGGGGCACCTGTGAGTGTGCATTCATATTTTTTGTAACTTGAGAGAAATGCATTTGTGTTTATAAAAACCCATAGAACTGTGTGAGGATCTGTGGTTCTAAACATGCAGTGGCCATCCCCCTCTGAGCCTGACACAGGAGGGGAAGCACCGGGCTGCACATGGCCAGGCAGAGCTTGCTGTGTCTTTGGCTGGCGCTGACACTGGCTCATCAGTGAATTTTGGGCACCAATTTTGATTTTATTTATCTTGATTTCTGGCTTTTAGCATCCCTTAAATTTTGAGCCTGAAGTGAACACCCTGCCCTCATGTCAACTTTGGTTTCGGCCACTGATCCTGAAAGTAGAGACGTGAAATACAGCCCACTCTGCTGGCAGCTCATGGATGCCCTGCCTGCTGTCGGCCCAGGTGGTGCCTCCCAGGCCTGCCCCATACATCCCGCTGCCACCACCTGAGTTTTCTTTCACTGGCTCCTGGTTGGGCAGGAGGGTTTGTAACTGGCAGCAAGTATGGAAGCCACATCTGTGAACGGAGGCAGGTTTGGCGCCCAGCCCAGTCAGCACACCAAGGAAGGCCCTGTTGCTGCAGCGCCCATGCAGTTCCACGTCTGCCGGAGTCCTGGGGGAAAGAGGCCGTCCTTCTCCCACTCCGCTGTTGCCGGCCCCCTTCTCTTCCGGCTTTTTTTCTTCCAGAAACTGGCTTATAGCTGTGTCCAGAGCACCAGGTGCCCCTTGGGAGAAGCCCACAATTCCACTGGCCAGGCTGTGGCCATGGTGGCTTCGTGGAGATGGAACTGTTTTCTTCGTCCCTTCTGACTGCTTATTTTCACCCCAGCCCTTCAAGGGGCTCCACTTGTCTCTACACAAAATGTTCTGCTGAGACTGTCACGGAGACCAAAGGAGGCTGCCGAGAAGACTCCAGGAGTTGGTTCACATGAGAGGAAGTGGCCACCGGGTGGTGTGGCAGAAGATGACTCACCCCTCAGAGTGCGTGCACCTCCACTTTGACCGTCAGACGCATGAGAATCAGTCCCAGTGCACACCTTTTTCACTGTGTGCCCAGCCAGCATGGGTGCAGCGGGACAGACCGCAGGGCCCGGCCTTGTCTGCCGCCAGCTGGCTTTGGCTGCCATCTGCTTCTAAAGGGTGGTGGTTCCTTCGGCTTCTTAAGCTTCGACAGGATGCACAGGAGAAGTGCCGCTGCGGTGTGTGCTTGGACACCCAGGACATGGACGCTAATTCTCTCCACCAAGTGGAAGCCTGAGCCGCCGTTGGGATCTGTAGTCTGTGCCCAGCAGAGCGTCGGATGGAGCTGGTGATGGGATGGGACCACCGGACTCTGCTGCTTAGTGGTGACCTTGCATTCCGCGCACCCGGCCTCCAGCAGCTCCGCCCCTGAGTGGCAGGAAGGCCATGCACTGTGGGGCTGGGTGTCTTTGCAGTGGGCCCCTGTTGTAACCGCCGAGCAGTTGGCCTCTGCAGCTGGCCACCAGTCCGCCCAGCCCAGGAGCTGAGACCTAGTGTCCTTACCAGCCACGCAGGGATGACACAGCCAGGTGTGGCATCGGGCATGGGCCTCAGTCTCCTCACCTGAGCCCCTGGGCAGCCTTGCTGTGGTCATGGAGGCCGGCCGGCCGCATGCCCCAGAGTTGTCCAGCTACTGCCTGGGGCGCGAGCCCCTGCCTTGTCTGCCCTCGTGCCCAGAGCCAGAGTGTGAGCTTTGTGTGGCCTTGAAGGGTGGTGGTCTGATTGTGTGCCCTAGAGTGGGGGCCTGCTGCCCTTACCCTGCTAGGGACTCGGACCACACACCAGCTCAAGCCATAGGCCTGTTGGAAGGAGCCTGTGCTATGCCAGCTTCCTCCTGAATCGGGGTCCTGGGACACATTTGGGGGACACTTGAGTTGCCCCTTCCTTCCCTTCTTTCTGCAGCCCACCTCTGAGCGCCACTAATGCAACTGTCTTCTCCTTTCTCGTCACCAGGGCTCGGGCCCAGGCGCGGCAGTCCCAGGCAGCTCCGGCGTGGGAACCCCCAGACAGTTCACGCGACAAAGAATCACGCGGGTCAACCTCAGGGACCTCATATTTTGTTTAGAAAATGAGCGCGAGACAAGCCATTCACTGTTGCTCTACAAAGCATTCCTTAAGTGACACAGGAGGAGCACGGTGTTTTTGACGAGACGCCTGGGGACGTTTTTATATATTTGCAGATTATGCCTTTTTGTAATAAGCAAATGGGATATTGTTTAAAAACAGCCACTTCTTTACAATGGAACAGTTTTATATTCCCGTTTCTAAATCAGCTCAGTGTGGAAGAAAACCTGTTTCTGTAGCAGAGAGAATACAAAGGCCTGTGGATACTCCTAAAGGACAACTAAACCCGAACTCATCCTTGATTGAGTGGCCTTCTTGCCAAACAAGCCATATATAAAGACTGATGGGATCGCTTAGCAAATCACTAGCTGCGCTCTGTCACCGTGTAGCAGTTTCTACCTTATTTGTGCGTTTCGGTTCAGTTCGGCCCAACTTACTACGTAGGTGTGTGTCTGCAGCTGATGACCTCCTTTCACTTATTTTATTTTTGTACTAGTCAGTTGGCAAAGCAAACTGAGTTTTAGACTATTTATCTCCCTCCCTCCCCTCCCCTCCCTTCCGCTCGAAATTCTCCAGGAGCACTGGCCGGTAGCACCGCCACCTTGGAGGGTAACCGCGTTTCTGGGAGCCCAGCCGGGGCGTCTCCTGAGTGTGCTCAGCGTCTGTACAAATGCATTTGATTTGCTACAGTTTGTGAAGCTGTAAAGTTAAGAGAAATGAGAACCTTTTCAGCATAAATATATTTTACTTGCACTGTGTTTTTTAGCTAAAAGTGAAAACTTAGATTAAATAAAATCAGTTGAGAAGAATCATCAAGAGACTGTTTCTCAGTGTGGATCAAGTGTTGAAAAATGGTTGGTGTATTTTGTCAGTAATTGTACATAATTTTTGGCACATAACATAAAAATGGCTATGTAAACTATAATTATTTTGCTAAGAGACTGTATGCAAGCTGTGGGCCAACTTTACAGACGTCCAGAGCAAAGCCCCTTCTTTGTACCTATTTTTTTATTACAAATATACTAATTGGTTCTTTATATTTTCAGAGGTTATTGTATTAAATTGTCTATTGATAGTACTTTTATGACTGTAAATACTTTGGCTTTCTCCGTGTGAATTCTCACGTAAGACTTTAATTCGCGCGTGTGAACTGAACGCTGATCAGTATTTTTATCAACACCTGAGAACTGTTACACCTTTTATTTTATCTTTTAGAAAATCCCCCGTCTTTCCATTTTTTCATGTAAATTTTGCACAGTTACTTGTTCATATGTAAATATTTTACTTTCAAAAAATGAAGTTTTTAATTGCTATTGTTTTATAGAGGATTGAAAGAAAATTAACTCCTTTATTAAAAACAAATTTATCTGTATCTGTTTTGCCTGTTTTTCCGTTTCCTAATTTCAGTAATTCTGCCAGAGACTCGGCGGTGGTCCAGCCAGTGTTTGTGACCAAAGTCCTGTGGACCTAGTAGAGGTAACTTTCTCTGAGGGTGGCTTATTCCTGAAGTCCCGAGGGTTCCAGTGTGCCCCCTTCTGCCTGGGGCACTGGTGGAGTTCTGCTGTGTGGATGCTGCCCAGCCTACAGATGAGCTGGGGCACACCTGGAGGAGGCGGGAGAAGGCCCTGAGGGCACGCACGCACACACACACACGCACACACACGGGCATGGGCACCCTGGCATGGACCCGTGGTGGACAGAGGTGGTGTCTCCATCGGTGTTGGAGGTAGGCCTCGGTGAGTTGCAGCTCCTGATAGGACACACGTTGAGGTGCAGCACCTATTGTGTGGGGTGCAGTGCCTGTCTAGCACCTTGGTGGCCAGGCATTGTGCGGTTCAAGCCCAGGGCTCGATGACCTGACACTGCAAAGCACTGCCCCCACTTGCATGCCTGCTGTCCTGATTGTCTCGGGGCTGCTATCACAAAGGGCCACAGACTAGGGGCCTCGAGCAGTGGAATCTGTCACACAGGTCTGGAGGCTGAGATGAGGTGTGGGCAGGATGGGCTTCTCCTGAGGCTGTGAGAGAGAGTCTGCTGCTGCTGGGCGCTGGCTGGCTCTCATGGTGTGCCCGGGGAAGCAGAAGCAGAGCCCATCTGTTCCTTCCCTCCAGCCGGCAGTCCCTGTCTCGGCTTTCTGTTTCCTGTAAAGGTGCCAGTTTTTCTGAATGGAGGCCACATCAATGACCTCCTTTCGGTTTGGTCATCTCTGTAAAGACATGTTTAAAAAAAAAAGCGTTTCCAAAAGCGTTTCTTTCTGGGGCCCCAGGAGTTAAGGACACCAACCCTCCGTAACATTTGGGAGGAAGCATAGTTTAACCTGTAGTGCCTGTGATGTTGAGTGATGGAGAATAGACCCAGATTTTGAGATCTGGGGCAGGAAGTTGTAGAGGGTGCACTTCCCTGTCTTCCCGCTCGCAAATGTGCCAAGGGTGATGGATTCATTAGGTCTTGCTCGTCCGTTCCAGCTGCATCCAGTACTTGGCTTTCTCTACCTTTTTGGTCTGAAATCAGTTAGTTCTCTCAGTAAAGAAATTTACATTTTAAAGTTTTGCAAGTATCGTTGATTTTGTCTCTGCTTTTCCTGCTGGGTCCAGTGAATGTGCCAGGAGAGTCACAGTGACAGTGCCAGGTCCCGTGCACCCGTTTGTGCAAGAAGGCTTGCTTCCTCTCCACTGCCGCACATCAGGTATTGTCCTCAGGCTGGTTTGGCTGTTTGTGTGGCTTGGGGTGGAGCCACTATAGTACTCCTGTGGGGACAGGTCCGGAGTGTGACACAGACATCAGCTCTCACCACGTCTCCCCCACTGGTTGATGAGGCCGAAGGGTGAGAGGGGAAACAAGCATGGAGTCTGGAGAGGAAGAGGGTGGTGGAGCAAGAATTCATAGTGAATGGCTGATGCAGGGAAACCCCGGTGAATCTGGGAGTCCCAGAAGTGCAGGTGAACTCAGTAAAACCACAGGATGCAAGACTGGGAGCCAAAATTGCTTGAAAATTCTGCATCCTTGCAACAAACAGAACATTTAAAAAGGTACCATTTACAGTAGCATCAAAACAGCAAATACTTGGAATATATTTAATGAAAGCTATGTAAGATCCTCACCTGGAAATTGGAGAAACTGAAGAGGACCAGATGGAGAAGGACGCCGTGCTCACAGTGCGCCCACAGGAAGGCTCGGGACAGGTGTGAAGTTCTGTCCCGGTCAGAGACGGCAGTGTTCCTGGAAACTAGCAGTCAGAGTCCAGAAATTCACGTGAAGGCCTGGAAGGCTTAGGAGAGCCGGGATCTCCTTGGGGAAAGTGGGCGCCCGTGTTCCTGACAACAGCCCCCGGACAGGACTGCAGGTGCCACCACAGAACAGTGATGTGGAGGGAGAGGAGCTGCCACCTGTCTTCACAGAGCTTGGGGATCTGGAGGAGGCTCGGCTGCTGGGAGGTTCATTATCTCGATGCTGGTGATGGTTCAGGGTGCGTAAGATTGACAATTTAGCTACGTGCAGCTTACATCAGCTGTGTCAGAAGTGCAAAAGAGGGCCGGGGATTTAGCTCAGTGGTGCTGCCGCCTGCCTCACAAGCTCAAGGACCCGAGTTCAATCCCCAGCACCAAAAAAGACAAAACAAAACTGCAAAAGAAGGAGGGAAAGGACGGGAAAGAGAGAGGGGAAGGAGGAGGGAGAAAAGAGAGGAGAGAGGCTATTCTTCTGATGTGGAGACAAGGTGTGGCCTAGCGAAAGAGTTGGGCAGTGACATGGGGCCAGGGGCCAGTTTGGCAGCCCTGAGGTCAGGTGGGATGTGGGGTGAGAGCCCCCCAGGTCTGGCTTGAGTGTGGGGGAGTGGAGTGGAGGTGGTGTTGGTGAGAGATCCATAGTGACAGGTGGGTGTCCAGTGTCAGCTGAGCCCCTGGGAGGGCCACATGAAGAGACATGAATGCCAAGGCCTGTTCTGTTCCAAGGTGCCGGGGACAGGAAGGTATAGGGAGAGGGAAGGAAAGGGATGCAGGACGCCCTCCCCACAGGTAGCAGCAGGCAGTGGGAGGAAGTGGTCTGGGACTTAGCTTGGTGGAGGTTGGAGCAGGCGCTCTGAACTGGTGGGCAGGCTTTTCCCTTTGGCAGCTGAGGTTGGCAGAGGGAGCAGGCCTGCTCTTCCCAACAGGGCTTTGCTGGGCCTTAATCCTCACTGGGAACTGGAGTAGCAAGAAGCCACAGAGAGATATCTCCTCCTGAGGTGTGACCCTGCCCATCTCTTCCCCTGGGGCTCCTGCTAGCACCGGCTCTGGGAAATCCCTTCCTCCCTCTGAGCAGCCCTTAGCACTCAGAGCTTCTCCCAGCTGGAGCACTGCTGCACTTCCCTGCCTGGCTGTGCAGTGCTATGGGGCACACTGGGCAGTCGCTGCTCTGCCAGCTGGCTCATTCCACCTCTGGCGTGGACTGTGGTGTGGCCTGTCGATCCCTGGCACAGTCTGAGGGATGGAGTGACCAGCCAGCCCAGTGTCGTCTGCCTGGAGGTTTCAGTGGAACTGTGCATGTGTGGAGGCTGGTGTCTTCATCTCAGTCACCCACAGCCACTCTGCGGGGAGAGTGTGGCCGAGGCTGAGGCCGTACAGAAGCAGGGAGCTGTGAACAGTCTCGATGGCATTTGTGGGACACCCGAGCCAGCTGTACCTGAAGCTCAGTCCTGTGTTGGGGGCAGAGCCACAGGAAGTTCACTCATCCCCTTAGCTCAGCCCAGGCCCAGAACTGGCTCCCAGGAGTTGGGTGACGGAGGGAAGCTCCTGACACTGCAGCCTCTTCCTGGAAAGAGAACCTTGCCAAGGCCGTCACTGCCCTTCCGCCGCTGCCTCCTCTGGGGAAGATTCAGAAGAAGTGCGGCCCCTTGGGGGAGGAGCTGCCCCTGGAGGGGCGTCAGACCTGGGGCAGTGGGAGTGCTGCTCTCTCCTGATGCCTGGAGGTCCTCAAGTCTCTGCTCTGACTTCCTCTTGTTGGGCTCCTGGGCCAGCCAGGCCTCAGCCCTTTTTCTGAGCCTCATTTTCCGAACCTTCAGTTTCTGAAGTGGCAGTGGCAGTGCTGCCCAGCTCAGGGTGGCAGACAGCACCCCCACATGGGGCCTGAGGAGCAGCAGGTGGAGGCTGTGGTCTCAGAGCTGCCTCTCACATGCTTTGAGGAGGGCAAGGAGTGCCCGGAGCACCTGGTGTGGGCATCATGGCTGCCCTGAGCTCTCAGTACCCAGGGGAGCTGCAGGCAGTGCTGGAAAGTTCCAGAGGCCTGTGGAGGTGGTTGGGTAGGGACAGTATGTGCAGGTGGGACCCCACCTGCCTCCCTGCTCACCTGTCAGGCCTCTGGCCACAGAGTGGGCGCACCCACCTGGGCACCCAGAGGACCCCTGGCCCCAGTCCCTATGTGCAGAGCCCTGAGCAGTAGAAATAACCTGTGCTGACCTGTGGAGGCTGCCAGGTGCCCAGCCCGCAGGTGAGGAGTGAAGGACATAAACCTGCACGGCCGCTGGGCAGCATGGCCCTGCACCTGAGTACCTGTATGCAGTCGGAGGAGCTGGGGGAGGGGCGGGAAGTTGCTGGCCTCAGGGATCAGAGGTTGGTTGATAATTGGATACAGCGGGCAGGGCCACCACCCCAGCCCTGGTTCCGAGGTGCCTGAGGGATGTGACTTCTCAGAGAGCAGACTCTGCTGAGCACACAGAGGTCCACGGAGTGGAATAGGTAAGCAGCTACTGGGAGGCCTGCAGGAAGGACGTGAGGCTTCCCCAGAGCTGCAGCAGTGTCTATGAGAGCCATGGAGCGAGTACAGGAGAGCCAGGCGGGGTGGTTCTAGCACGGCAGGTCTGCAGGCCCTCCGTCCTCACCTGCCTTGAGGGGGACAGAACGTGCTCAGCGTCCTGAAAGTTTTTGGGATCTGTCAGTTTCATTTACGGATCTGATTTTGATTGCATTACAAACCCAGAACGTGGTATGATGCTCACTTAGTTAGGTCTTTTAAACATTTTACTCATTAATTTCCTGAGATTGGCAGGTGTAGGGCTTCAATGGCTTTGCTTAACTATTTCTAAGTATTGGGATGCTGTTGTATGTTATAGATGGTATCGTCTTGGTCCATTTTCTGTTGCGGTAATGCAGTACACAGAAGCTTAGAAAGAGCAGAGTTTAGCTCAAGTGCACTAGTAGGGCTCGGGCATGTGCCTGGCACCTGGTGAAGGCCTTCTGGCGTTATAGCAGGGTGGAGGGCAGCACAGGGCAGACAG